CCAGGACCGTGACACCACCCTGCCCTTCCGTGGGACTCGTGTCGCCTCACATCAGCTGAGTGAAAGACATGGCAGATCATCTTGTAGAGCCGCTTCTCCTCTGCCCCCTCTGACCGCTGAGGCAGTTTCCGGCGCGCCATGAGCACCACGAGGGAGCCGATGTCAGCTATGTAGGAGATGGTCTGGAGGGAGTGATCCATCATGGCCTCCTGGCAAGGGGGACATGGGCAGAGACATTCAGCCCTCCCTGGCCCGATGGACCCCATGGGCAGCCTGCCAGATGCCACCACAAGCAGGAAGAGTTTGGGTTCAAACAGCACCATGCCAAGGTGCAGCTGCAATGGCTGGGACGCGCTAGGGAGAAACCAGTCTGTGCTAAAGCTCCTTTGATCAAGGGCTCATCTGTGTCTCTGCATGCTGCCGGGGACAAGACAGCTCTTCCCTCTTACTATAAAGCAGAAAATGATCTTGAGGCAAATTTCAAGCCTAGGTTCTCTGGAACTTGGCCTGGGAACCCAGCAGCTCCCACAAGGCAGAGTTTGCCGGAGAAGTCTCATGCAGCCCTGCAGAGAGCCGGGGGACACAACGCATCTGCATGGGATGGCTGTGGAGTGATGCGTCTCCTCCCAGCCACGTGTCCTTGCCTGTAGGCCATCCCTGGGCACAATCCCACCGGCGTGGAGGCAAAGCAGAGATCCCAAGGCCAGAGAGGAAGGTTTCAGCAGCCCCGGAGCCAAGCAGGTGCTCCCATTCCCCGCTCACCTGTGTGTCAGCTGTGAGCACCTTGATCCTTTGCGTGGAGACAAACAGATCCACCCCTGTCATGGGCTGAGACTCCCCCTCTGGTGCCTGCAGAACCAAGGGTCCAGAGGTCACTGCTGCTGCCACGACTCCTCTAGGTCCCTGCCCCACAGCCAGGAGGTCCCGCTGGGCAGGTACTAAACACTGCCCCATGCCCGTGAGGGGCCAGGCTTGTGGCAGTCATGCTCCCCAACCCTCCTGCACCTTGATCCTGTCCACCGCCTCCTGGGCCTGCGCCATGCGGACACTGGTTGGGGGGTTCCTCTCCGAGACCAGCTGTGTGGAGCCCAGGTACTTTGCCCCAAAAATCACACCATCCAGCAGATCCTCTGGGTCGCAAGGGCCTGGAACTGAGGCATCGGGAGGGACTAAGCAGGGGCTGGACCCCTCACCTCTGAAAACTGGGGTAACAACCCCTACTGCCCATCAGCTGCATTCCTAGACATGCAGAGCAGCTCACCACTTGGGAGATGGGCTCCTGGCATGACAGGGAACAACTCTGACCCCAGGGCTGCTTCCCCCCTCCCCCTCAGGCACACTCTGGCATCCCTCCTTCTCCCTTCCCAAGCCTGGGCATCCCCCCTCCCCGATCCCTGAAGTATCCCCATTTGCTCGGTGAAGGGTGAGCTGGGATGGAAGGAGCCACTCAGAGCCTGCAGCCATGTTCCCACTCTGCGTGGGCACAGAGCTGGGCACTCCCGCCCCAGGTGGAATCCCTGGCCACCCCACATTTGGCATCAGCAGGTCAGGACTCCTAGTGATTTTGCTGCTCCAGCATAGAAGCAACTCACCCTCTTTGAAGGCTGAGCAGGAGGATGGGGGTTCCCTGTTCTGCAAAAGAATGGAAGAGCATGTGAGGATCCGGTGGGAATTCCAGGGGTTCAGCATGCCCATCCTGCAGCCAGGCTGCCCCTGGAGCACCAGGACAGTGAGGGCAAAGCATCTTGAAGCTGGGGGGTGGGGTGCAGGGTCCTGGGGCGGGGGAGACTGTTCGGACCCACCAGCCACTTCCCTGGGGCATGCACAGATCGGACATCTATACAAGCATCCCCCTGCCTTCGGGGCAGCAGGAGCCAAAGCCAGTACAGAGGGTCTTGTCTGGGCACGCCAGCAACACAAGGCCCTGTAAGACCCAAGGAAAAGACATCCCTGGCTTCCCTCTGCCCCCACCCAAAACCCCACGAGGGAGGAAAGCCAAGAGGCACATTGCAGCTCACTGCTGCACCACCACAGCCCGCTGAAAGCACTCACAGTCACACTGCCTTGGGGTGACTGCTCTGCCTCCGGGGCTGGAGCGGGAGCCAGGGCCATCCAGGCCGGCTCTGGGGAACCGCCCTGTTTGCTCTTGCAGGTGGAGTCGAGCTCTCCATAATACCAGCTACCAGAAGGTCCTTCCTCTGAGCTCTCCGGCCTCACCAGCCCTTCAGGCTTCTCCACAGCAGCCAGTTCCTCATGAGCCCACAGCATCTCCAGGTTGGTCCCAGCCAGGACGTTGGCACGGGCCAAGGGTGTCTCGGCACTGGCCTCGGGCAGCCCCCCCTCGTAGCACAAGAGGCTCAGCAAGTCCTCCCTGTTGGCCTCGGCAAAGAGCAGGCCATGGCAGGGCCGGGAGCAGGCTGAGCGCTGGGCACAGCAGGGCCGTGTCTCCCAGCCCTGGCCAGAAAAAGCGCGGGGCAGGGCCCGCCCTGGCCCCGGCACTCCCTGTAGCTCTGCTGGCTTTGCTCACCCACCCGAGGGGCCATGCCAGTGCTCAAGGAGGGAAGCGGTCCCTGCTCTGACGCAGGTGAGTGGTCGCAGAGGTTGGGATCGAGGGTCTCAAGCTGGGCCAGCAGGCCCTGCATCTCCAAGGGTTCATCCTCTGCATCCTTGGTCCACTCAGCCCTTCCTGGGTGTGTGCCAGCCTCGGGGGCCTCATCCAGCTCCATGCCTATCAGGTCACTGCTGCTGGGGGTTTGGGGGTGTCCTGTGTCCCGAAGGGTGCACCCAGTGCTGGGTTTCCAGTCAGCAGAGCCCTGAGGCCCCGCGGTCACTGCCTCCTCTTCCATCCCTCTTCTCAAGTCCCAGCAAAGCTCAGTTTGTCCGCTCCCACCTCCTTTGAGGTCCGGGGCTAAAGCAGGCCCCGAACTGGGCCCCAGCCCCCTCCGCTGACCCTCGGGGATGGGCAGGTCCTGCCCAGAGCCGCCGTCAGGGAGCAGGG